TCACACCTGTAATCCCAGCACTTTGGGAGGCTGAGGTAGGAGAATTGCTTGGGCCCAGGAGCTTGAGACCAGCCTGGGCAACATGAGGAGCTCCATCTCTATAAAAATGTTTTAAATTAGCTGAGTTTGGTGGCACACACCTTTGGTCCCAGCTACTCAGGAGGCTGAGGTAGAAGGATTGCTTGAGCCCAGGAGGTCGAGACTGCACTGAGCCGTGATCAAGCCACTGCACTCCAGTCTGTGCAACAGAGCAAGATCCTGTCTCAAGAAGAAAATAAAAACGCACTTAAACTGACATGTGAAAGTAATCTCATTATAAACTGGAAATAGAAATGAGTCAGAAGAGTGACAAATTTTTATTTTTACTCTCAACTGTCAATGTTACCAAGTTATTTTCTTGAAAAAAAGTTTTATTTTGTGCATGGGTAAATAATTTAATGGACCAATCCTGGAGAGTACTTCCCTGTCCATTCTGAAAAATATATAACACAAAGTGCTCAAAAAGTATCCAGCAAATTAATACATGTGAAAGATGGTGCCAGACACCTAGGAATTATGTACCAATCCCAGAATTCATACTCAAGCTGCCCTGATTTCCAACACCTCCATCCCCAAGAATGACAACTGTCTTACCCGGGTGTCCCAGCATTTCATGGCTGCAGCAGAGATCTCTGTGCTATCATCAGGGAGAACAAGCCCTGGAAATCGGTGAATAAGGAGTTCCAGACTATGTGGTCATAGAACAAATCTCTTCCCTAGATTTAAGTCCCTCTTCTTTTCTGCAAAGAACAAATAATTTACAACTTCAGAGTATCTGATGATTTTGTTGCATAATGCTTAAAAGCACAAGCTCTGGAGCGAGGCCAACCTTCGCTAAAACGCCAGGAACACCGCTTAAGTTTCGTGATGAAGCATGCTGTGTAACTACTCTGAATCTCAGTTTCCTCATCTGTGAAACAATGCCAATAGTAATATTACCAGCCTCAACAGGCGGTTGTGAAGATTTTTATTTTTCGCTATATTGAGAGAAATGGTGCTTAGCTATAAGCAGCTGCCCAGGGGAAGCTTGTTCCCCTTGACAGGCAGCTCAGGGATCAGGCCCTTAGGCAGTAATTAAGAGAGCACGAAAATTAAGACTACAGCAGGTGTGGTGGGAAGAGGCACCGGGAAGAGCAGTTGGATATTTACTGGGAGCCAAAATAAGGCTAAGAACTGCCTCTCCTCCTTATGAATATAACTTTTTTTAAGAGGAACAAAACATTTATTTCAAATTTTCTCTGGTATGAAGACATATTCAGCGAAAAATTGTGGGATTCTAAAGTCCCCTCAAGCATCCAGGAGACACGACTTACACTTCATTCATTGCCATCCAGATGTCTTCCCTCCATGCCTTGCTAGAGGACTCTGAACAGCGCAAAGGCCAACAGAGAGCAAAGGGTAAGCAACAGAAAGACTCTGACAGTAAGTCAGTCAATAAACAAGGAATGATTATCTACTATGCACCATACTCCGTGTTAGGGGTTATAAACCAACATGGGCTCCTACCCTCATAAAGTGTATATTTCTAGGTAACAGGTCCTTGGTGCCAATCTGGGGACATGCAACAGCAGAATCACCTGTGCTAAAAATGTAGCATCCTCAGAATCTGAACACAGACCCCACCTGTGACCTAATGAATCAGACATTCTAGGAGGCAGAGGATACAGGAGGCTACATTTTTAAGCAGTGCCCTCTGGTGATTCTGAGAAACACCGAGATTTGGAGAACTACCATTAGTGTTTCTCAAAAAGAGTGGTTTTTCTGACCACCTGCATCAAACTCAGCCTCCTAAGAGCACAGCACGGGCATGTGTGTTTTCAGCGTACCCCAAGGTTTGAGAAGCATTACACTTGACTGTCTTTCTCTTACCCCTCCTCCTTCCTATTAAAGGATAGGTATGTGAAAGTGCAGTGCCAATTGCAAAGCGTGATACAAAGTTACTTGGGTATAGTTCCTAGGACCTTTCCATAAACTGAGGAAGTCCGGCATATGCGAGTAACTGAAGTCAGTGTGGAATAAAATGAGGCATTCCTCAGAGCTCAACAGGTCTCTGACAGAATCTTCAAAGTTCTTCTTATAGCAGCAGAACCTTCTAGCAGGTAAGGCTGCTAAATCAGTGCTGTTACTTCAAAAGAATGTCCTTCTGCCTCTGGCCCCTGGAGCAGAGCTGGGGTGACTGAGCAGTTACATGCTTGGGTGGCATTCTCTCCGAAGGTCCCTAGAGTATATGCCCTCAGCTGGGCCATTAGCAGAACCTTTTATATTGTGACAGAAATGTTTGTTAGGTGGACCCATTGAGAGCATAGTAATATGCCACAGTCATATGGCCCTTAAACATTTAGCTTTCTCAACAGACCATGACATACAAATTCAGGATGCGGGATTAGGACGAAGAAACAGGATGGTTAGGAGGGGACAGACAGATGGTTAGAGAAGATACTAAATTCCCTTTTTGGATGTGATGAATGACAGGTGCTGATATGGTTTGGTTTTGTATCCCCACGGAAATTGTAATCCCACGCAAGGAGGTGTTTGGATCATGGGGGTTGTTTCCACCATGCTGTTCCCATGATACTGAGTGAGTTCTCAAGAAATCTGATGGTTTTGTAGAGGGCTCTTCTTTGCTTCCTACACTCTTTCACCTGCTGCCATGTAAGATGTACCTGCTTCCCCTTATGCCACGATGGTATGTTTCCTGAGGCTTCCCCAGCCATGCAGAACTCTGAGCTAATGAAACCATTTTCTCTTTAAAATACCCAGTCTTGGGCAGTTCTTTACAGCAGCGTGAGAACGGTCTAATACCTGCGCCTTTGGAATATCCAGGTGAGGATGCCATACAAGGCTGCAAATCAAGAGAGTGGAGGTCAGAAGGTTAAGTAAGACCAATGACAGAGACAGAGCAGCCTTCAGCTAGAAGGGGCAGGCAGTCTGCATGATGAGAAAATAGAGAAAGAAAAACTCAGCATATGGGGAAATATGTAAAACAAAAGGAGAGAGTGCAGTGAAAGGGCCTAAAACAGAGGGACCAAAGAGGGAAGGGGTGCCTCCTAAAAGCAGAGGGCTGAAAAGCCGAAAGGAGGTTAACGTTTCAAGGAAGATGAATCGCCAGTGTCGGAAACCACAGAGCAGTGAGTAAGGACAGGAACAGAGGACAGGCCCTTGGATTCACGATCTGCGTCACTGGTGACACGTCCAAGAGCAGCAGACTGGGGGGATGTGGAACTATTTCCTTCACGGTTTTGGCCAGCGTCCTTACTAATAAATCTCATTCCCTTCAGAGCTCTGATTTGATTGTTTTCCGTGAAGGATTCTCAGTTACATGGATGTTATTGTTGAACATCAAATACTTTGCTTTCCAAACGGCTGCCTCTTTAAAAATCGAAATTTAGCTGGATGTGTCCTCACTGGTCTTCCCCAGCCTTCTACCCGCTCTCACCTTCCCCCCACTCTCCCTCCCTCCCAAGGGGACTGGACCATGATTTTTCAGAGATTGTGGTGAATTTCTGCCACATGGTGGACACTCGAAGAAAATTTAATTACTAATGTGAATGGAAAGGATTTAGGAAGTGGGTGCGAAAAAAGTCTCCTCTCACATTGGAAATACAGTTATCTCCCTTTCAAAATAAATATAAGTATTTATATTTCAAAGTTAAAGATAACTGGAGAGTAGTTGTACTCATAGTGCAGCATGACAGGAAAGGTGTGGGCTTTGCCGTTAAACCAACCTAAAGACTTGAGTCTCTCGCTGGGTGCGGTGGCTCACACCTGTAATCCCAGCACTTTGGGAGGCCGAGGCGGGTGTATCACGAGGTCAGCAGTTCAAGACCAGCCTGGTCAAGATGGTGAAACCCCGTCTCTACTAAAAATACAAAAATTACCTGGGCATGGTGACGGGCTCCCGCAATCCCAGCTACGTTTGAGGCCGAGGCAGGAGAATCGCTCGAACCCAGGAGGTAGAGGTTGCAGTGAGCTGAGATCACGCCACTACTCTCCAGCCTGGGCGACAGAGTGAGACTCCATCCCCCAACAACAAAAAAAGACTGAGTCTCAGCTGTTGCGCATTCCACGCTTGCAAAGAGGGGTAATGTTCCACACTTGCAGGGTGGTTGGAAGAGCGGAACTAAATAACACCTGGAAAAAGTCGATCACAGGGCTTTGTGGAAAGTAGGAGGGCAGTTTAACGTAGCAGTGGGTATTAGTATTGGCTATTGTTTACTCATCCTATACGCCGCTTATTCAGAAAACTTCAGTAACTTTCCAAATACTGTGGGCAGGAAAACCTCACCACCCTTCATCTAGGAATATCTGATCATTTCTTTGAACTCACATTCACCCAAGAGGGCACAATTCCAACCAACATGAAAAGCAGGTCTTGTGAAGCCCACTTGGTGCCATCTCCCAGCCATTGTGTTGACTTGGGACCGGCGAACATCGTGCATTAGGAAGTGTTGTTACGCAGCATGTCCAAGGAAATCTACACACAGCACTTTTGCCCCAGGAATATTGAAGCCCTATTCTGACAGCGTGACTCCGATGCCCACTTGGCAGGCTTTGCATAAAGAATTAAGGCGAGGGTGGAGAGGGTGGGTAGGGTGGGGACAGACAGAGTGAGAAGGAAGGCAGGCGAAGGGGCCACACGTAAGGGGGCAGCCAGCTAATGAAGCCTCTGCAGTGATGGCCACATCAGTTTTTTAAAACAATTCCATTTCTTCCCCGCCCGCTGGGCAGTCACATGCTAGGCCCCGCAGTGAACAACAGACACCCTCGTCCCAGGTCCCGGGCTGGCAGAAGCGGACCCTGACCGAGGGAGCGGCCCTCCCACTGCCTGCCTCCCGCCCCGGGGCGAAGTCCTCCAGGCCCGCGGGGGCGCCCGCAGGCTCCGCCCCCTCCTCGGTGCGCGGCCCGCACGCCCCGCCCCTGCTCCGCCCATCGCGCGGCGGCCCCTGGGGCGAGAGTGGGAGGAGCGCGGGGGCGGCTGCTGGAACCGCGCCACGTCGGGGAGCGGGAGTCGCTGCTCGAGTCTGGTGCGCCGGTCGCGGGAGCCCCGCTGTGCAGTCGGAGGTGAGTACCGACGTGGCCCGACTCACGTCCCCGGGTGGAGCGCCGCCCACCCCGTGCTCCTCGGGAGTCGGTGCGGGTCTTTACCGCGGTGCCGGAGGCAGAGCGGCCCCGGGAACGCGGAGGCGAGCTTGGGGAGGATTGGGGACGCGTTTCTGGCGGCTCACGGCTCCGCCATGTCCCCAGTCTGTGTCAGCCCGGGGAGAGGGATTGGAAGTGGCTTTTCTAGACCCTCTTAGCCGTGGCAGTGCGTCCTGTCCTGGAAGTCCTTGCCTAGGGTGTGCGGCTGGCCCTGGGAGTCCTCACCCCGAGGGTGTGAGGCCCGCACTGAGGGTCCTGGCCCATTCCCGGCAGGCTGGGTAGAGAAATCCTTGCTTAAGTTGTGCGGGCAGATCCGGGAATCAACTCCAAAGGGCAAATGGAAAATGGGGTGAAAGGTAAGAGACCCTTCGGTGGGAGGATTGAACACAGAGCCCACCCTGATAGATTCAGAGATCCAGAAAGGAGCTAGGGCTGCAGTTGGGACCAAGTCATTTTTTTCCGCATTCAGCTAGCACATCCTAATGGCATCTTCCTTCTTGCAACACACATAACTCTTCCCTGGGGGACAGCCTCTAGGGCAGAAGTCCCCAAACTTTTTTGGAAGTCAGTACCCCTTTACACTCTTAAAAATTAGTGTCTTAAGGAGCTTTTATGTGAGCTATATCTATCCAAATTTGTACTCTATTTAATAATTAATTTTAAAAGAATAGTAAATAGTTGTATCTTAACATTGCCTGTTTTTATGAAAAAGAACTCTATTTTCCAAAACAGAAAATAACTGAGAATGGCATTGCTTTACATTTTTGCAAATCTCTTCGATGTCAAGCGTAATTGAAGACAGCTGGATTCCGGTAGCTGCTTCTGCAGTCTGTTGCATTATCACATATCATGTAGACTCTTGAGATCTCCACTGTATACTCCTGAAAATGTGTGACTGAAAAAAAGTAACATTTGATTACTATGAAAGTGGTTTTGACCTTGTGCATCCCTAGGAGTTCTCTGCACCACGCTTTGAGGGTGCTAGTGTAGGAAATGCTTTAGAGGCTTCATTCATTGGGCCTGCTTCCTGTTTGTGATCCTTCCTCTGAATGGGAACACACACCACCCCATGCCATGGATAGTATTAACCTCTGGTGTCTGGAACCAGATTTGATCTCACTTTGGAAACCAAGTACTAGGTCCCCAGGTGAAGCTGTGATGAACCTTGATAGCCTCCTGAAAAGGCAGCAAGGCTTCACACCTGCCTTTGGTTGTTTCTGTGCGTGCAGAGCGGACCATCAGGATTACAACAGTGATGTGGCAAACAGCACCTGTGGACTCAGAGAAGTGTCAATGGGGAGACCGTGCCAAGTGTGTAGGGGTTCGTGTGAGAGTTACCAAGTAGTCAGGATGTTACTTCCAAAAGAACAGGGAGACATGCTTTTGCCTTCCCTTCCACATGTTCATTTCTGTTTGCAGTTGCGTGGCTATTAGCCTTAAGTTTATTGAAATAATGATTCTCAGTCTTGATGCTCTTTCACTTTCCAGTTTCAGAGGTGTGTCACTCTGAGTGATGCTTCCTCAGCCCCTGTCAAAAAGCAGTTTCCACCATCCTGGAGTGTAGTAGGTGAGATCCTTCACAGGAACCTTTCCTTAGCTTCGTGCTTTGTCCGAACAAGTTCAAGACAGATGTTACGCATATATACATGGAAGGAAGAAATTTTCTAAGTCCATCCTCCCTTTGGTTCCTTCATCCACAGAGCCTCTTGTGCTCTAATGGATCAGTTTAAATGCTACAGCGGCTATTTGAGAAATGTTGCATGCATGTGAGCACGTGTGTGTTGCACAGTCCACAGATGGGAGAAGGAAATGGGATCTAAACTCTGAGCACCTGCTGTGTTCTTTGTATTAAAAAATTCCTCTTTGTTGGTGGGGTCTCATTCCTTCATTCTTTCAGTAGATTTTTATTGGCCACCTATTTCTTATATGTCCATTTATGTGCTGGATGTCAGGAAAGTAGAGAGCACAAAAGATGCAGTCCTTCCTAGTCTTTCTGGAAATTATGGTCTGATAGCTTAAATAACTGTTGGTTAATTGAGATTGTTCATTGTCAGATGGTTTACATGAAAGCTCGTCCTGTGTGAAGAATACCCCCTACCTAAAGTGTGCTTCAAAGGCATGTGCTGAGGAAACCAGAGTCCTACACTGTGAAGATGTTGATAAAAACCAACATGTATCACCATGTGCCTGGCAAAGAACTTCCTTTGCCTTCTTTCCCCCACTCTTCCTTCTGCATAGGAAGTAATTCCCTGTGAGGCCGCCAGACTCACAGGGAAACTACCTCCAATTGGCTCTAGCCACTGGGCCAGCCTCGGGTATGACACACCTTCACTAGGTCTCAGTGTCTTTGACTTGGAAGTTAAGCTATTGATAGTAAGTGTCCTAAGGAGCCAGTGGTTTCAGATCTGGTTTATAGTAGCAGCTGTGCTTATCTCTTCCTAAATCCGTGTTCAGTGGCAACACATTTTTTTAGATTGAAATAAGCCATGGCGGGAATAGTTAAGCCATGGAAATCAGCAAATGCCACATCAGAGGTTTTTTTCCCCCTGGAGTTCAGGTTGTTAAACCTTTGCCAGCTGACACTGCTGTTGTCAGAGCCAAAGTGCTTTTGGTTTGTCTTTTTTTTTTTTTTTTTTTGTCTTTTAGTAGAAAATGGACTCTTTAGCCTAGACAAAGATTCTAGATATAAGATACATGATTCAGGTCCTCTAAAATTTTTGATAAAGAAAAAAATCTGTTTTCATCATATTCTAAAATACAGATCAGCAAACTTTTTGTGTAAAGGGATAGGTAGTGAAGTATTTTAGGCTTTTTGTGTTATGGTTATTCAGTTTCTATTGCAGCTACTTAGCTCTGCTGTTGAAGCATGAAAGTAGCAATAGACATTATACGAACAAATGAGCATGGCTGTGTTCCAGTAAAACTTGATTTACAAAAACAAGTGCTGGCCATAGTTTGCAGACCCCCGACCTAGACTATCTGAACAAGAACCATCCTTCAAAGAGATAGTTTTGTGGAAAAGGAGATTCTCCAGGACTTTATGCGTGAATACCAGGAACTTGAGTCTCCAAGACGGATATAGCTGGCAGTAGTAACTGCAAAGGATTTGGAATCAGTCATAGAAGAATCCATTGTAGGTTGTTTAAAAGAAGGCTAAATGTGTTCCAGTTTTGAGGACAGAGTCACATACGGGCCCTATTCCTAATTCCCTCCCTGGAGCCATCTCAGATGTTATGCTGGGATGGATGGGCCCGCAGTCTAACCCATTGTGTAAATTTTGTGTGTCCTTATGCAAAAACTAGTAGCATCTCTAAGAGCTGTCTTGATTCCAGGGGCAGAGACAAAGGAAATGTTTAAAGAGGATGGAAAGGCCAGGCATGGTGACTCACACCTGTAATCCCAGCACTTTGAGAGGCCAGATTGCTTGAGCCCCGGAGTTCAAGACCAACCTGGGCAACATGGCGAAATCTCATCTCTACCAAAAATACAGGAAAAAAAAAAAGAATTGCCAGATGTGGTGTCATGTATATGTAATCCCAGCTACTTGGGAGGCAGAGGCAGGAAGATAACCTGGGAGGTCCAGGCTGCAGTGAGCCACAATAGCATCACGGCACTCCAGCCTAGGCAAGATAGTAAGACCCTGTCTCAAAAAAAAAATCCTCATTGTATATGTATATTGTACATTGTAGAGTACACTGTGTGTGTATACCTGTGTGTATGCATATTTGTACATCTCTGTGTACATAAGTTGTGTACATGTGTCATATACTCCATTCCATGTATTTGAAGTAGCGTCATGAATGTGTAGAAGACAGACCAGTAACCAGTTATGGGCAGTGGAATGAGGTAGAAAGAAGGCAGGGAACTTTTGTTACTTTTCATAATACCAGATGGGTGTTTATTTTGTGAGGAAGGATATCCCGTAGCATATTCGTATATTGCTTTTACAGCTTAAAAACAAATACCTAAAATCCCAACAGCCTATACTTTTGAAAGGAAAATGGAGTTATTTCTCTGATAGGAAAGTTGCCACCATCCTCCTCCCCCAATAAAAATAATTACTTTATCATAGCACAGCTCTGAACTTGTATATATATTAGTATATATTAACAAAATAATATTGAGAGAGAGCCTCTCAAGTCAAAACATTTTATTTAACAGTATTAATGTTTGACTCTTGTCCAGGGTTAAGAAATACTAGGTCAAATTGTTCCTTAGTGAGCTATTATCCAGCGTTTACACTGGTATTATAAAATGCTGTTGTACAGTTTTTAAAGTAAAAAGCATGTTACACAGCAGTATTTACCTGTGAGTCTACATTTCTGAGGAGAGAAATCATGTGCATATATGTATGAATTTGCGCTTGCATGTCCAAAGGCAGCGGATATGCCAAAACATTAAGTGCTTTTCTCTTGGTAGTGAAGCACAGTTGCTTTTTAGATTTTCTTCACTGTAGCTTATCGGAGTTTTCAAGCATGAATAAATACTACATTTGACATTACCAAAACGAACTCCTGCAGTATGTTTACACCTGGTATGTTGAGGACAGTTCTTCTATCTTTCTTAGACTCCTTACCACCAGCTTACCTGGTAGCAGACCCCAACTGCTCTCTCCCAGTGAGGAGTGTGAGGCATGGGAAACCGAAAACAGGCACAGTGACCATGTAGTCACATTGTTCTGTGTCTGCTTCTCCTGAAGAGTCTGTCTGACCTCGGCTCCGCCCTCTCACTTCAGTTGACTCATACCATCATCAGCTGACCATCTCCCTAGATAGACTGACCTTCATTTTTTTTTCCCTCTATTTTTAGTGGAAAATCTCAGACATACAAAGTGAAGAGGAGGGTATAAACCCTCGGCCTCAACTACTGTGAACAGTGATAATTGGCCAATTTTGTTTCCCCTATACTTTTTTTTTTTTTTT